AGAACCTTCTTGTCATACTCTGTTTATGAAAGCTTTAGTATGCCTTTGTCTTCATCTCTGATGATTCTATTGCTAAGTATTTGTTTAGCAGCTTCCAGATCTTTTATTTCAAACTGTTTTGACAACTGTTGTTTCAACTTATCAATCTTCTCAATGTCGGATCCTGCAATCAACATATATTTCACATATAACAGTAGAATGATGTAGGAGTTGTTAAAATATTTGACATAGCAACAATGATCAACTTGGCCTTTTGTGTACCTCAAACTGCACATGAAGTTGTCAAACTTCTTACACCATTGTCTTAGAGCTTGCTTCAAACCGTATAGGCTTTTCTTTAGCTTACAAACTTGGGTCTTCTTTTTTTGTATTGCAAACCCTTCTAGTTCTAGCATATAAATGTCTTCCTCCAAGTCACCATAAATAAATGTTGTTTTTACATCTAATTGTTTAAGATGTAAATTTTTTGCAGCTACTATCTCTAGAACAATTCTGATTGTCGTGAGCTTCACAATTAGAGAAAATATTTTAGAGTAGTCAATCTCTTTCTTTTGTTGAAATCTTTTTACAACATGTCTTACCTTGAATCGTTTACTTCCATCATGCTTAGTATTTGCTTTATAAATCCACTTGTTTTGCAAAGCTTTCTTTCCTTCAAGTTGTGTGGTTAGCTCCAAGGTATTGTTCATCAACAAAGAATCCATCTTATCTTTCATGGCTAGCTCCCACTTGTTTGAGTTTTCATCTTGTAATGATACTTCATAAGTTTGCGATACACCACCATCTGTCAACAAAATATAATTCAATAGAAGTATAAACCATTATGGGGGTTTTACAATTCTTGAATATATGCGAACATAAACAATATGTTCACTTGGCTCAGTATCTTCCTTTAAAGTAGTGGGTACAGATATGCTTGAATCTTTTTGTAAAAGCTCTTGATTTTTGTTCTTCTCGGTAACATTAGAAAGCCCTTCTAATGTTATGAATTTAAATTTTTATGAACTTGTATCTAAATTAGCCATATCTGTTTCTACACTTGATTTGTTTTTATATAAAAAGTTCTCATTAAAGATCATGTTTCTGCTTTTGATAATCCTTATATTCTGATCATCCTAAAATCAAAACTCAAATTCTTCATCTTCATAGCAAATGAAAAAACATTTTTTGGATTTGACATCTAGCTTGTTACGAGCATCAGACTCTATATAAACATAAAAAACACACCAAATGACCTTTAGATGAGAGAGTTATACCTCTTTTCCTCTCTATACTTCCTCAGGCAATCTGAATTCTAAAAGAAGTGATGGTCCATAATTGATTAAGTAAACTGTAGTATGAACTGCGTCAACAAAAAATGTTTGTGGTAACCCTGAATGCAACCTCATACTTCTAACTCGTTCATTGATAATCTTGTTTATTCGTTCAGCAATGCCATTTTGTTGTGGTGTTTCTGGAATAATCTTTTCCATTCTGATACCATTGACAGCGCAATACTTTTTCAAACCTTCATCAATGTATTCTCCTCCATTATCAGATCTCAAGCATTTCAACTTCAATCCTGATTCAGTCTTAACCATAGTCTTTCATTTCTTGAATGTTTCAAATATATCAGATTTATTTTTTAGAAAGTAGACCTATACCTTCCTGCTAAAATCATCAATAAAAGTCACATAATACTGAAAACCTTAATAGATGCCACTGGAGAAGTTCCTCATAAATCTGTGTGTACCAGTTATAACTTTCTTGGTCTTAAGGTCTTACCAACCTTAAAGAAACTGAACTTCTTTTGTTTTTCAAGAATATTACTTTCATAAATGTTTAGATTAATTTTTTTTTTAACTCTGGCAGCTTTTTTTTTTTACTGAAGTATCTTCATCCCCTTTTAACTCATATGGTCGAGTCTACAGTACCATAATTGTGCTTGATTTTTTGCTTCAGTCGAGGCAATAATACCTGCAAATCTTATGGTTTTATACAAGGTGTCGGTTTTTTTTTCATAAGTCAAAACCATTGCTCCTTTCGATACTTTTCATATATCTTCAGAAAAAAGATTGAATGACCATTATTGTCAAGTTGTCCAATGAAGATCAGTTTCTTCTTTAATCCATGAACATGTCTTATATTTTATAAGTTTCATATCGATCTACTCATGGTTTTGATTTGTACATCTCTTATACCTACAATATCCATTGTTTGTCCGTCAGCTAGATAGACTACACCGTGATCTCCAGCAATATAGTTTTGCATTATTTCGTGGTGTGGTGTATAATGAAATGAAGCACCGGAATCAAGAATCCAATCATCAATTAGACTTTGTACAATAAAAATCAAAGCATCTTGTACCTCATCAGTGGTAATATTCATAGAGTCAGCCTCAGGTTTTTTTGGTTTTGTGCAACTCATGTAATGACCAGGTTTGCCGCAATTCCAACATTCAACTTGCTTTCTAGGTCCAAACTTGCTTTTACTTTTGTATATTAATTTTGATATGCCTCTAGAAAGCCTTTATCATGTCTCCTCCCTTGAATGTTGATGTTGAGAGCTGAACCTAAACTTGAACTTTCACCTAAGTCTTTGCTTCGCACTTCTTCAGCCAAAATTAAATCTCGAATATCATCATATTTTAGTTTGGATTTTCCAGCTGAGTTACTCACAGTTGTTCTCATACCTTCCCAATTGCTTGGAAGTGAAGCTAGCAAAATGAGTGCACGAATCTCATCATTAAACTCAATCTCAACAGATGACAATTGATTTGTGATGGTATTAAAGTTGTTAAGAAGTTATGTAACAGAGGTGCCTTCTATCATCTTCAAGTTGAATAACTTCTTCATCAAATGCACTTTATTATTTGCTGAGAGCTTTTTATACATCCCAGATAAGGCTTCCATTAATCTTGTAGTGGATTTTTTTTATAACATTATGAGCAACTCTTTTTGATAAGGATAGTTGGATAATGCCCGAAACCTATCTATCAAGAATTAGCCAATCTTTTTCTTATATATGCTCTTATTTGCTCCCCAACAAAGGAAGATAAAGTTTCTTACAATGTAGACAATTTTTATTTTTCAATATCTAAAATCTGTCCCATTAAATTTTTCAATTCTAGTTGTCTTTATTTTATTTGCCATTTTCACTAATTTTAGAGTTAGAATTTGCTGAATTTGACTTTATGATTGTGTCCAAAATGGTCAAAAATGTTGGAAACAACTCTGAAATCACCCAAATCGGACTTTGGATGGCTTAGAGCTGATCAATCAAATTTTTAAACCAATGGACGGTGCAGATGAAGTCACTTGTCAACTGAAATAGTGTCTGCGGTGCACCAAATCAAAACTCAAGATGATGATGTTGCTATATGACATGTCAGACACATAAGCAAGACCGGTCCATAACCAATGGCTTCTCAGTTGCTGACGCGGATTGCTGCCTGTGCAGGTAACGTGGCGGATGACTGTGCGGAATTGCTGTTGACTGGCTGATGACGTGGTGAGTCAACCTGGTTTAGTTGCAGGTAGTTGGGCGAAGAAGGAGAGTGTGGCGTGTGCGGCGTGTCTATGCGCATGGGTAGTCCTAACGTCGACGTATGATGGCTAGTGCGGGCATGCAACACGCCAGTTCTTTGCTGGATTTTCACCAGTGGATTTATCTTATCTTTCCCTACACGATGGTATGTTCAAAAATATGTTTTGAGAACTTTAATTCCTGGATTTGGATCAAACACTCTTTTTTTCAAGAACAAGCTCTAATATTAGTTATTAAGACATTCCAGAAATCAAACACACACAAATTTATGTGGTTCGGCAACTTGCCTACTCTACGGAGCGACTGGGTTGTATTAATCAATCAAAAAATCAATATAAATAAGAAGAAAAAGAAAAAACTCTTCTCTACTCAACTCACTCTCACTCAAGTTCACCTATTCACTTAGTATGTGTGTGTACACACACACTAAGTTGGGAGCAAATGCCATGATTTATACCTCAAGCCTCTACTATATGCTAAATAGGAGATTAGTTGTTCCCACTAGCATATGGTGGAGGTGAGACATTGTTTGTCTCCACTTTACTAAGTTCAAAAAATCTCTTTCAGCAGCCCTTCTAATAAGATCACCATTTAAACCAAAATTAGTTTCAGTCAATTGTGGTGGTCCGAGGAGGCATGAGAAACATATGTAATTAGCATACACTTGGTGTGTGTAAGGGGCTTATTTACCTGTTTCTTTTATTTTTAGAAGCACATGATACATGAAATCATGATTCAGACAAAGCACAAAAGGTTTCCAGTATTAACTTAACCATAGAAACGGTATTTCTAATTTTTCCAACGTGAGTTTTGAGGTCTTTTTGTTCCTTCTAATTCTTCATACACCCAACTTCCTAGCTGTTCATTTAAAATCACCCTGCAGAAAAAGAAATTACAAGATGGTTTACACGATTCTGTTCCTGGCATCAAAAGAAAGACTCAACAACTCCTAGAAATGCCTATGAACTATGGCTGGCAAAAATGGTGAAGATTATGCATGAATATTATGAAGTAATTGGACTGGCACCCTTCTTGATTTCAACTATCTTTTGCATCCAAAATTTGACTGTACTGGATTAATTTGCAGGTGCTTTTTTTCTTCTTCCTGTTTTGAATGAAAATCAAGAAAATAATGGTTGGCATTCTGGCAATAGCAGGTAAGATATTAAAGATTGGTGCACTGCTTTGCTATTTGTAAGGAGGTACAATCAATTGGTTTTGAGACATATTTTTAGCATCAGTTCAATAGATAAATAAGTCAGCAGGTCTGACCTCTATAGACAAAGAAGTAGAGGCATCTGGGTAATGAGATTTTACGAGGAGCACATATAAAAATGATCTTCCAGATTGAATACTTTTTGTAAACTTAGGTAAATTTCTGTGAAGATGTTAGATTATGTTGATGGGAGGTGCAATATGCCCAAGCATGCATATATTCATGGCCTAGCCAAAAGAGTGAAGGAAACTGTAGCAGGTATTCAAATAATATGAAGGTAGTGGATGTTTATATTCTTATGAAGGAAATATTGAATAAATCACAAGAAATAACATGGAGGAAAAACCTCAAATTATGAAGTACATCCTGCAACCATTTGGGTTGCAAATGTGGGGGAAACTAAATGAAACAGATACAAATGAAATCACACGTGCATGTTCAGGAAATCAATAGAAGATCGATTTAATTCACAACAGCACAACGTTTCCTGATTTCGCCTTGTTTGCCGGTCAGGACTCCAATGTAACCCATTTTCACCATGGATTCAGCAAAATCTTGTGCAAAGGTGGATCCCTGTGTCCTTGACTGAAACTGGACGTAGTCTCTAGTTTCAGCATCGTCAAGAAGAGCTGCATCGGATCGGAATAGCCCTCTTCTTTTAGCTACAATGGTGTAGTAATCTTCGTCGAAAGTTTTGAAGCTCCCAGGGTCCATCTCAACCACTGTGTTGGAGTTTCCAGGCTTGCATTTTTTCTTCAGTTGAGCAGCGTATCTTCGGTCCAATGAAGGGTCAGTATCTCCCTTGCCTGTGAAATTGTACAGCCTGTTCGAGATTATGGTGCAGTGTCCAATTCCTATGGTGTGTCCTCCTGTCACCAAAACATATTCCAAGTAAATACGCTGATATTTTGCTTAATAGATAGCTTTTTCTGTTACGAAAACTACCTGATAGAACTGAAAGGTCCTTTACACTTAAACCCGTTGCAGCAAATTGCTGGGAATTGTGTGGTTTCCTAAACAAGATGAAAACGTTTGATTTCCAAGTGCTTTTGTGGCAAGGTAACATTGAGATGATGATGATGGTGATGATATCAGATACATACTGTGTAAATTGCATACCAGTACTTTAGCTTAAAAGCTTACCCTGATGAAGCAATCATGGAAATGCATTCTTAGCAGAGGAGCAGCAAGCGTTCGGTCCCTAGAAATGTAACGATAAAGAGTTTGATGTACTATAAGCTCTGCATCAGGACATGCTCCCTGGTAGAATCCGAGTTGCAAACCCCCTGCATTAGTGAGGCCTGCAAGCAAAAAGGCGAAAACGAGTTGAAGAAAGCAGACCAGGAAAAGCTTTTGAATTGCCATTTTCCCTTGAGTGAAGTTTTGAAGCTGTACTTCAAGGATGAGATGGCTCGGAACACAAGTCTGCTGGCATTTTATAGTTGAGGTAAGGCCTTTGACAGTGTCTTTGCACAAACTGTCATTTGATTAGTGCGAATTGTTGTTGTTTATATGATAAAGTCAGCAATTTAAGAGCTGACCCACAACAAATTAATAACTAATCAAATGACAGTTTGATTAATATTTTACATTGCTAAATAATGCTTATATATAAGAGAAAAAATTTGAAAAACATTAGCAAACTTGTAAAGAAAAATCATAGAGACCTCTAAAATATGTTTTCTAAAACTCCGTACAAATCTAAATTTTTGGACGGAGAAATATTGTGTTTGAATAAAAAGTTCAAGCACATCGAAAGGGAAGAATTTACTTTAGAATGAGTCGAGCTCATATCAAAACATGCCCAGAAAATATTAGTTAACAGAATCTTAGCCTACACTCAATCATTTAAATTATATATAACTCAACTTGCATTAAACATTCTCCCATTGGCTACCCACCAAAAATAATTTGGCGAAGCAGTCAAGCATAGATTATAGATGCTGCTGTGTGACCATTCAGGATTTTATAACAAACAAGCTCTCAAGAACAAAGACCTAATCACGAAAGGAAATATTATATATTAAAGCTATGTTTGAAGCAAGTCGTACACGACTTTCTCCAAAGCACGCCTTGCCATGTCTTGTTCTGATTTTTCTCTCTTGTTGACCTCTGTGAAAGAACATGGAAGATCTCAAGAATGATTTTATATTACACTTTAACTTACCATTTCAAATCATCTCAGTTCCACCGCTACAAACAGGACGGTTAAATCTGAATTTCTAATTACTTGATCGTGAAGAACTATTTCAATCTAAGTTTAGCATTTTGGATCATATTTACAACATTGAATATAAATGGCATTTTAATTATTGATTCTAGGAGTTGGGAGGTATAGTACTATCAAACATGCCCATTTTTATAATAAAGGACTATTAATAAATTAAGCATTATTGCATCAACTGGAACTGGTCGTGCAATATTGTTAGTATCCCACCCAGACACATGATACTTTACAAGACCATGTCTTCTGTTAGTTTCGAAGAAACCATACGTGAGAAATACGTGCATCGGCCATTCTCGGATTCTTTAGCTGAACCAGTAACTTATGTTGGCCTTTGAAGACAGAAGAAACACACAAGACTTTTTACATCATGCGTGTGTAATAAGCAGGATTCACTCTATGCTTTTGTTACTAAGAAAAAAACTGCTCAATAATGGTCACACGCTGCATGGAAACCCACTAGGGAATTCTGACCAGTTCCCACTCTTATATAAAAATGAAGAGATTATAGAGCATTGAATAACACAGAATACAAGGATTTCAGATGATTAAGAATGCAGACAACATCAAACAGCAAGACGAACGGCTTGATGTTAAAGTGGCTGCCGAAAATGGCGAAGATTATGCATTTCATATTATGAAGAAACTTGGCTGGCACCGCACCCTTCTTGATTTCGACCTAACTAGCCTGGGCTTTTTACAGGTGCTTTGTTTCTGTGGCGTGCTGACAATGGCAAGCAAACTGTTCTCACTCTTTCGAGGATCTAATATTCAGACCTAGAAGCCAAAGTTGGGTTAACGTAAGGTCGACCCGAATACGAAGTAGTGTTGCAAGCTATAAAACAAATTACGGGAACTCAGATCACACTTTATTCCTGTATAGTTTTATCATAAAAGAAAATTTAAATGACTTCCTGCTCACGATGACAGGAATCTCTTTAATCACATCTAAAATATTTAAAGAAAATATACAGAAAGTTAAAATCATGATACGATTCTCCTTCTATTTTATGATCAAAATACATATAATTGAAACGTTGTGGGTGCTTTAGAAGAAACAATGGTTTTAGGAAATTCTCTAAATCTGTGCGCGCGCGCGCGAGTGCATACGGGCTTGCGAGCATGTCTCGGCGCACATGCTTCTGCACATGCTGATAAGACTAATGTTGTTCCAACAGATAGTTCGCCTGCATACAGGTTTCCACTACTTCTAATCCCAACCTGCAGGTTATTGCGTTCTTGCTTCTTACATCCTGATCAGATAAACCAACGGTTAGATTCAATGTTGTCACCATGTCAAGAGTGAAAATCAGAAGTGTCCCTGAATGAAGCACATTGACTGAGCAACATATAATGTGTTTTTGCTTCTTCTTTTTTTGGTTCTAACTCCAGGTACTGTGTGAGAATAAAGAGAATGAAATACAAGAAAAAATGTTTGGAAATCTTGCGGTTTCAGGAAAATACATTGAAGATTAGGGCACTTACAAGTGTCACAAATATCAGAATTCAATGTAAAATTGTTCTTCGTTTCCTTCCTTTCTCTAGGAAGAATTCAATCCTCTAAAATACATGTAATAATCCCTAATTTACTATCTTTAATTCCTAATTTGTAGTCAATAATAAATACAATAAATACAAGATATTCTGTTATAATTTGATTGCCATATATTGTTGATATTCTTGCCAGAATATACACTAACATCCCCCCTCAAATTGATGCTGGCCGATCAAGAAGCATCAATTTGTCAATCATGAGTTGATGTCGAGGCCGAGACAAGGCCTTCATAAAGACATCAGTTGTTTGATGCTCGGTAGAAATATGAGGTAGTGTAAGAATATTATGATCAAGAGCTTCATGAATGTAGTGACAATCAACTTCAATATGTTTAGTGCGTTCATGAAACACAGGATTAATAACAATCTGAATAGCACTTGTGTTATCAGCATGAAGAGGTGTAGGATTGTGCTGAGAAAAACCAAGTTCACGTAGCAAACCCTGGAGCCACACAATTTCAGAACATGCGGAGGATATAGCTCGATACTCAGATTCTGTAGAAGATTTTGAGATTCGGTCTTACTTTTTGCTTTTTCATGAAATTAAAGCATTTCCAAGAAACATACACCACCAAGTAACAAACCGACGTGTATACATGCACCCTACCTAATCTGCATCACTATAACCTGTTAATTGTAATGAATTATCAGCAGGAAAAAAATAATCCTTGCCTAGATGTGCCTTTAGGATAACAAAGAATTCTTCGAATAGCAACTAAATGAGGTTGACGAGGAGCCTGTAAAAACTGATTGACTTGTTGTACTGCAAAAGAAATATCTGGCCGAGTAATGGTTAGATAATTCAAACTGCCCACCAATTGCCTATATATGGAGGGATGAGGTAATAGGTCACTATCATTATGACAAAGTTTTAAATTAATCTCAAGAGGTGTAAGAACACTATTCCCTAATTCAAGACCGCCCAAGAGAAGAATCTCTTGGGTGTATTTGTGTTAATGTAGAGAAATCCCATTAGACATAAAGTGCACCTGTAGACCAAGAAAATAGTGAAGGTGTCCCAAATCCTTCATATGAAATTCACTGTTAAGAGAACACTGTAAATCCTCAATGAGTGGAATGTCAGATCCTGTAATGATAATATCATCCACATATACCAGAAGAGCAACAATACCAGTAGTAGTTTGCTGAAGAAACAAAGAGGAATTATATTGGCTTTGAATAAATTTAAGTTTCAGAAGAGTAGTGCGAAATTTTTCAAACCATGCTCGTGGTGCTTGTTTTAGACCATACAGGGATCGTTTCAACCAACAGACTTTATTAGGTAGGTGAGTAAACATATTAGGAGGAAGAGTCATATAAATATTCTCTTTCAGGTCTTCATGTAAAAATGCATTTTTTACATCCATTTGACGAAGTGGCCATCTCTTGGAAGCAGCAATTTCCATAATGGTGCGTATGGTAGTCATTTTAGCCATAGGTGCAAATGTCTCCTCATAATTAATACTATATGCCTGACAATTTCCAAGAGCCACCAACCATGCTTTATATCGTTCCACAGATCCATCAGGTTGGAATTTAATAGTGTATACCCATTTGCAGTCAATAGGTTTAATTCCGGTAGGACAAGAAACAATATCCCATGTGTGATTATCCTGAAGAGCTTGAAGTTCCTCTTTCATGGCTTGTTGCCAACATTATTGGGTAGAAGCTTGGGCATAAGTCTTAGGCATAAAAGTACTATCAATAGTAGTTGTTGAGTATCCATACCTGTTTGGGGTATGTGAAACTCGAGTTGATCGTCTTAGTTGAGGGGAATGATCAAATGTCGGTTCCGTGTCCGGAAGGGGCAAAATGGATGGTGGATGACGTCTTTGATATACAATTCCTGGCTTAAAACATTCAAAGATATAAGATGGACTATCATAATCAAATATGGGAAGCTGGATAGGAGTGGATTCTGTTGAGGGACAAGAAGGAAAAAAATTTTGATTTTCAAAGAAAATCACGTTTCGAGATGTACAAATTTTATGAGCATTTGCATCATAACACACAAACCCTTTATGAGAATTATTGTATCCTAGAAAAGCACAACGAGCAACCTGGGCTGAAAGTTTATTACGTTTAGTAAATGGTAAGTGAACAAAACAAACACACCCAAAAACATGGAGGGAATCATACTCAGGAATAACACCAAATAAAATAGAGTATGAAGATGCAAAGTTTAGAACTTGAGAAGCCAAACGATTAATTAGATAAACAGTTGTTGACAGAGCTTCTACCCAAAATCGAGTAGGTACCGAAGAATCAATTAATAAGGTGCGAACAACATTTAAAAGATGACCATTCTTACACTCAGCAACTCCATTTTGTTAAAGAGTGTAAGGACAAGATCTTTGAGAGAGAATCCCTTTGTTTTTTAGATATTCCTTAAATTCTTTAGACACATATTCCACCTCGGAGTCAGACCAAAGTATTTTAATATGAGCAGAAAATTGATTTTCAACAAATACAATGAAAGCCTGAAATGTTGAGAATACATCAACCTTAGATCGAAGAAAATATATCCAAGTGAAACGACTGGAATCATTAATAAACATGACAAAATATTTATACTGAGCATAAGAAATAACAGGACTTACGCCCCATACATCAGTATGAATAATTTCAAAACATTTAGAAGCACGAGTACCATGTAAAGGAAATGATAATGCTTTGCTTTTACCTAATTTGCAAGAACTACAATCCAAAAATTCTGTTGAAAAAGAATTTTTATTCCTCAAATATCCATGGTTCATAAGATGAGTCAATACATTAGAATTGGGATGCCCCAATTTCTTATGCCAAAAATAAGGATTATTAATGATAGTAGAATAAGCACAAGAATTAATACTAGGAATAGAAAATTGTATTGGAAATAAACATCCCACTTTAGGCCCCTTCGCGATCACCTTCCTTGACACTTGATCCTACACACAACAACCATGACGATTAAAGTGAATTTCACAGTCATTTTCTACCATTTGACCAACAGAGAGTAAACTTGTGGTTAATTTTGGTGACACAATATTCTTGAAATAAGACCCTAAATTTCCAATCGATAAAATCAACAAATTATCACCATTTGCTACTAGTATATGCTGATTACCCATGTATTTTCGCATATTACACAACCTATATTCACTACTGGTCACGTGATTTGACATTGCCGAATCCATTAACCATTGTTTATTATGTGCCGAATCCAAGGGAATGCTAAGTTTATTTTTCTTACCAGAAATCCAGAGTGCAGAGAAGGTAGATATTATCATTTGCTGCACCATTTTGGGAGTGAGAGTGCCTGACAAAGAGCTCACCGATGATGAAGATTGTGGTGTTGACGGTGAGGATACGGATGCGGCAGCCATAGAAGCAGCTCCCAATTTCGACTGCACAGTAAACCCTTGTCGATTCTGTGGTCGCAGACGACATTCTTAATTATATGTCCCTCTTTCTTACAATAATTACAGAATTTCTTACTGCAATTTTGGGCAATGTACCCTAATTCTTTGCAATTAAAACACTGCAATGGTAGATTGTTGGTGGTAGCTACTATTGTCAAACAAGTTGCATCAACTATTGATAAAATGGTGTAGCTCATGTGCTTCTATTATTAATGTCATACTTTATTGCCAAGTTGTCTTACCATTCTTGCCTATAAATAGGCACCAACAGAGCAGCATAAAGTGAGAGTGAGAGAAAGCAAAGCAAAGAGAAAAGAAGAGAGAAAGAAGGGCTGCCAAGGACAGCAACTCTGCTGCCATATACAACTGTATTTGTGAGAGCAATGGGAATAGAGTAGAGTGAATACGATCCTCCTCCTATGTATTTATGTTGTTTCCTTTCTCTATCTCTAATAATATTGACTTCTCTCGTGGATGTAGTTGATTTATTGAACCACGTTAAATATTATGTTAGTGTATTTACCCTTCAATGGGCAAATATCAGAACATCATCAGTCGGAATCCCTAACGATTGGTATCAGAGTATATGATTTAAAGTGGTGTTTGATTTTTGCTCAAAAATAAAAGTTGTCAAAATGGTGTTTTGACCATACCGCTATGTAGAGGAGGAAGAGACGAGTACACTGGTGAAAATCGGACGCTGGCAAGGCGTTTGGCCACAAGCACAAACGCACCCTATATGTGCCACGCGTCTTCTTTGCTTGGATGGGCTGACCTGATCCAAATACTAGACGACCTGACCCACATGACTAACCCGAATAAGGGCGACGTCATCATGACATCATCACAGTATAAGCATGCATAGTTGGCATTACATGTTAGTAACCAGTCGGATAACACGTCAGCACAGTAGGACCCATATCATTAACAACGAGCCATGCTGAGTTGAGCCTAGCCGAGCCGTAAGCCTCTGAGATTGAATTTGTGTCATTGATTAGGACAGAATTGTTCTGATCAAATCTTAGTCTTCTAAAATATGATTTGGATGATTTCAAACTTGTTTCCAGCTAATTTGAACATTCTAGATGCAATGGTATATTCCGATCATTGATTTGGACCGAATGATGTGGTGGTAAACTATTAAAAGAGATTGTCCAATTAGAAGGAATCTGAAGGTCATCATGGTGGTTGATAGAGATAAAGAAATAGAAATCACACATGTTTGCCTAATTATATGTGCTGAACTACTAAGTGAGGAGATTTTTTAATTGTTTTGAAGGAAGGCAAAATTAGGATACTTTGGACACCTGATCATGTGGACGATTTGAGGTAGAGAGTGAAAATTGATGAAGACCAATCTTGATGAATCTAAGTACTAGTAGTCTTACCAAATGTTGTGAAATCAAATATAAAACCAGGATATTCCAGATCACTTGTAAAGGAAAGCTGCGACAAAGCTAGCAAAATGTTGTATATACGAAAAGATAGTACAATGGATAAATATGGCCTCAGAAGTTATGTCTAGGAGATTGGGTTTTAAGCGGGACTAGTGTGACCCCTTTAATCTTTTCTAGAAACTTACTTAGTTGAAAGATTATCTATACGATACTATTTTTATATATGTAACAATTTGTAATGAAACTATTGAAGACTAGCAGGATGACGGCATAAGAGAACAACTGGGTTCTGTATGTTCAAGGATTTGATAGAGTGGTGATTTCTTCAAAAAAGATACATTCAGTGAGTGTAATTTCTCGATAGGAGAATTGATGAAGACCTTGATAATAGAAGAGAAATATAGCAAGGAAATAAAGCTTGACACCCTATTTTGACTTGGATAGGTGTTGTAACAGGATAATGAGCTGTTGTTAAATATAAAAGAAAAAAATATAAGAAATCTGGAGAATAGAAATTGCACAAGGACATACAAAGATTGTGCAGGAGTACCCGTAGGATCCAATGAGGTACTATAATGAGACATCATGTGTAAGGAGAAGAAGTGTTCCCAAATAAAGCTTAGAGCAGAGACCGCAAAGAAGTTGTACAACAAGAAATCTCTTGTGCTCTTAATAAAGGCAATAGGCAAGAACGTTTTCAATGCATGCAAGAATGGAAAGATAAGCTATTGCATAGACACCTAATTGAAAGGGTGCAAACGTCTGTGATAAAAAGCAACCACCTATGAAAGGTAAAGACATAAAAAAAAATGGTGGAGGTAGAGCTATCAAGCAGAAAGGCATAGAAGCTCTAAACATAGAAACTGAGATGGAGGATTGCAAAAAGTGTATCGCAACTCTTTATATGTGATTAATGACAATGATCTCTTCCAAGTCCATATGGTGGTAGGGAATCTTGAAGCCACTAGATTCATCCCCGATTAAGGAGGATAAGATCGCCGCATGATGACGAGCAGAGACACCTTAGACAGAAGGTGTAAAAGCCACGATATAAGCCTAAGTTCAGACAGCCCCATGACGGGCAAAGACACCTCAGGAAAAGGTGTGAGGGCTATGATATAAGCCCAATTCAAAATACCCCCAAAGCCAATATGATGGCTAGTTATGAGTGGACAAATATATGGATAGCCAATGAAGTGGCTATATTGAGTATGCAGATAAATACAAGATTGACTTTCATGGATATTGCCCCCATGCTAAAGATTAATGAGCTAGATAACATTTGCCTTGGACAATAAGTGGATAACTTGTAGAGCATTAAGAAACTACTGTTAGGAATGAGCAGAGGGCATGCCCAGGTTCTTAGAACAAGTTAACTATTGTTAAAGTGGTGAGCTCGGTAATGGCATTGTAATACTCAGAGTATGAAGATAAATATGAATCAACCTTTAATAGACTGCCCTCATGGTTAAAGGTGAAAAGCTACCTGGACTCTTAAGACTAAGAGCGAAAGACTCACATAAAAGGTGTGGTTCCTAGGATGGAACAGAGGGCAAACACAACTCTAGGATGAGTAGACTCTTGAAAGAGTGGTGAGCTCATAATCACATTGAAATACTCAATGACTATTGCACTTGGGAATATCCGTTTGAAGGGGTGTTGTAAGCCTTGCTGTAAGGCTTAAAAAATCATTCTGCATCGAGCATGGTTGATACACTCGAAGGGGTGTGTTTTGGTGACTCTGATGATTGAAATGTTTGGCAAGTACTTGGAAACTTAACCAAAGATGCTCTTAGAATGGTAAGTTTGAAAAAGCTACAGGATGCAAGCTTGTGCTGAAAAAACAAGAAGACAATTGCCCATATAAATGGCAAAGAGGGTGATTGTTGGGATATTGCCACTTCTATGGCAGCATCTGTAGCCCTACTCTAGGAGATATAAATGGCAAAGAGGGTGATTGTTGGGATATTGCCACTTCTATGGCAGCATCTGTAGCCCTACTCTAGGAGAGGGTTATCATTGTCAAAGGCTGCAATGAGAGGTTATTGATGACAGTTGTTATTGTCAAACAAGTTGGACCAACCATTAACAAAATGATGCAACCCATGTGATGCCACCATTAGTGCTATAATTTATAGCCAAGTTTTCTTATTATTCTTACCTGTAAATAGGCACCAAGAGAGCAGCATAAAGTGAGAGTGAAAGAGAGCAAAGCAAAAGGAGAAGAGAGAAAGAAGGGTTACCAAGGGCAGTAGCCTTGCTGCCATGTGTAGCAGTGTTTATGAAAGCAATGGGAATAAAGTAGAGTGAATATGATCCTCCTTCTTCATATATCTATGTTGTTCTCTTTCTCTATCTCTAATAATATTGATTTCTCCCATATATGTAGGTAATTTATCAAACCGCGTTAAATATTGTATGAGTGTACTTAGCTTTCAATAGATAAATATCATAATATCACTAGTCAGAAACTCCAATGATAATCATGGCCTATAAATGCACATACCACTCTCATTTACTAGCTCAAAATGATGGATCTTGTAGTAATTGGATTTGGAGCAACATTATATGAATATGATTCAAAGAAGGAAGAATTTTTTTGGAATATTAAAAAACAAAATGTAGCAGATATTACAAAATTAAGAGAATAATGAAAGTTGTAATATTCATTAAAAGAAATTGAATAAATCACTAAAATATAAGGAATGGCCAACATCAAAATTATTAAGTGCATCCAGCAACCATTTGGGTTGCAAATGCGAAAAAAGATAGAAAGTAGAGGCAGATAAAAGACAACTCAAACATGAACAGTATGCAACTTCGTTACAAGCAACTCAGGTATGGAAAATGAAATTAAATATCGATTTAATTCACAACAGCACAACGTTTCCTGATTTCGCCTCGTTTGCCGGTCAGGACTCCAATGTAACCCATTTTCACCATGGATTCAGCAAAATCTTGTGCAAAGGTGGATCCCTGTGTCCTTGACTGAAACTTGACGTAGTCTCTAGTTTCAGCATCGTCAAGAAGAGCTGCATCGGATCGGAATAGCCCTCTTCTTTTAGCTACAATGGTGTAGTAATCTTCGTCGAAAGTTTTGAAGCTCCCAGGGTCCATCTCAACCACTGTGTTGGAGTTTCCAGGCTTGCATTTTTTCTTCAGTTGAGCAGCGTATCTTCGGTCCAATGAAGGGTCAGTATCTCCCTTGCCTGTGAAATTGTACAGCCTGTTCGAGATTATGGTGCAGTGTCCAATTCCTATGGTGTGTCCTCCTGTCACCAAAACATATTCCGATCGCGTCTTTCTCTGCTTGATTTTTCTTTGTAGAACTTAGGAGCACAGAGCCATCACATCCCTGAAACTACAACCTGTTAGGATATTGTTTGACGTGTGCTTAAGCAGCAATGTAATGTTGAAAATATTGATATAAGATAAATTATGTTTCACAACTGTGAATTGAACAGTAGCGTAGCTTAAGGCCTTACCCTGATGAAACAATCATGGAAATACATTCTTAGCAAAGGAGCGGCAAGGGTTGGGTCCCTAGAAATGTACCGGTGAAGGGTCTTATGTACAATAAGCTCTGCATCAGGACAGGTTCTCCGGTAAAATCCGAGTTGCAACCCCCTTGCATTAGTGAGTTCTACTAGCAGGAAAGCGAGAACCAGATGAAGAAAGAGGACTGAAAAAAGCTTTTGGATAGCCATTATCTGTGAACAGGAGTTTTGAAGTTGTTCTACAGGCTGAGATGGTTTGGAACACAATAATTTCTTTTTATAGTCAAGCTGAGGTCTTTGACAGCGTCATTGTTCAAACTGCCGCTGTGTGTAATATGATTGCACGTTTGCCCAACTTGCCTTAAACATTCTCCTATTGAACAGCTCAACTCCAAGTACTTCAAAAATGGAAACACGTCCTGTGAGGATGGGTTCGCCTCACACCATAACATGGCTACAATATGTGTTGGCCCTAAGAATCTTTAGCTGACACTCGTACTCAAAACAATGAAAAATCTCTACTTGCATTAAACATTCTCCCATTGCATTGCCACAAAAAACAATCTAACATAGATTATAGATATTATTGTGCCCATTCAGGACACATAACAAGAAGTTGCTCCGCACAAAGGCCTGACAAAAAACAAGTGTTAATTTCCCAAAAGGTCTATTGATGGTCGTGAAATGGCTTTGAAGAGCTGGAGCAACATTGTAATAAATGAAATGGCCTGGAATAACAGATAGGCTAAATATGTGAACGCACGGTTTAAGCAAACTGTACTGTTCAATCCTGCAATGTATAAACGGCATTCTGTAATTCAATATATGTAGCTATGACTGGTTCTTCTCTACCTTGTTGGCCTTGAGTTACAATTCCCAAAGTAATTGGTTCCAGGATTTGGAAGGTATCGATAGAGCTTAGTTTCGAAGAAACCACATGCGAAATGTAGTTGAGCTAAGTGATTCTTCAGCATAACCATTCCCTAGCATTAGCGTTTGAAGACAGAATATACTCCTCTGGATGCTTCCATTAGGTGTGTGTCTCAGGACATTATGCATGTGTAAGAAGCAGGATTCACTTTATGATTAGTTACATAAACATCCAAGTCCTCTGCATGTTTCCATTAACTGTACAATATACTCCGGCAAACTGTGTGAAGACGACGTAGGGAATTCTCAGTTCTCACCCTTTTACGAAACTGAAGAGATTAAAAGCTTTGAGAAGCTTGAACGATTCAGAACATATACAACGACTTCATTTTATTTATTTATTTTTCCCTAGTAATGAATTCATGGACTTTTCCAGATGAGTCAACACCATTTTTCATTGGTTCTATCACATTGAGGTATCAGATGCCAATATCCAGTTTCTGAGGAAGAAATTTGTTGCAGATTAATCCCTAATTGATCAGATGATAAATGGAGTTCAAAACATCTCATGTTCTTTCAGCAGCCCTTCTAATAATATCACCATTTAAAACCAAAATTAGTTTCAGTCAATTATGGTACGAGGAAGCATGAGAAACATATATAATTAGCAGACACTTGGTGCTTGTAAGAGGCTTATTTACCTGTTTCTTTTATTTTTTAGAAGCACATGGTACATGAAATCATGATCCAGAGAATGCACAAAAGGTTTCCAGGATGAACTTAACCATAGAAACGGTATTTCTTATTTTTCCAACGTGAGTTTTGAGGTCTTTTTGTTCCTTCTAATTCTTCATACACCCAACTTCCTAGCTGTTCATTTAAAATCACCCTGCAGAAAAAGAAATTACAAGATGGTTTACACGATTCTGTTCCTGGCATCAAAAGAAAGACTCAACAACTCCTAGAAATGCCTATGAACTATGGCTGGCAAAAATGGTGAAGATTATGCATGAATATTATGAAGTAATTGGACTGGCACCCTTCTTGATTTCAACTATCTTTTGCATCCAAAATTTGACTGTACTGGATTAATTTGCAGGTGCTTTTTTTCTTCTTCCTGTTTTGAATGAAAATCAAGAAAATAATGGTTGGCATTCTGGCAATAGCAGGTAAGATATTAAAGATTGGTGCACTGCTTTGCTATTTGTAAGGAGGTACAATCAATTGGTTTTGAGACATATTTTTAGCATCAGTTCAATAGATAAATAAGTCAGCAGGTCTGACCTCTATAGACAAAGAAGTAGAGGCATCTGGGTAATGAGATTTTACGAGGAGCACATATAAAAATGATCTTCCAGATTGAATGGGAGCACAAAAATGATATTCCAGATTGAATAATTTCTGTGAAGATGTTGGATATGTTGATGGGAGGTGCAATGTAATGTTTTGAATAAATAAGTAGGAAAATACAATAAAGCCCTTGGTGGCTTAAAGGGTAGATATAAATGAATGAGGGGTAGTGTAATAATTCAACAAAACTTGATAAATATAAATAGAAA